CCTCCTCCTCCTACTCTCCTCCTCCTCCTCCTCTTCCTCCTCCTCCAGCGCCTCTTTCTCCTCCTCGTGCTCCTTTTTTCCCTTGATCGCCTGCTCCTCTTCTCTCCTCCTCCTCCTCCTCTTCCTCCTCCTCCAGCGCCTCTTTCTCCTCCTCGTGCTCCTTTTTTCCCTTGATCGCCTGCTCCTCTTCCTCCTCCTTTTCCTTCGCCTCCCCCTCCTCCTCTTCCTCTTCCTCCTCCTCCTCATCTTCTTCCTCCACCATCGCCGCCGCCTCCTTTTCTTCATCCTCCTCCATTGCCTCTTCCTTTCTCCTCCTCCTCCACGTCAGCCTCGTTCTCGTAATCCTTATGCCAACGGGCGAAACACCGCACCTCATCTTTTGGGGGTAAACGGCGGGAGCAACTATGACAGTCTGAAGCTAGTCAATGCCTCGTCATCTAATTAGTCACGGGACTGAATCGAATAACGAGATTCCTTTTCTTTTCTTCAATCAATCAATCAAGATCCGTCGATTTCGACGGAACTTTCCATCGAAATCGGCGAATGTTGAATGAATGAATAGATGATTGATTGATTGATTGATTGATTGATCGATTGATTGATTGACTCATTGATTGATTGATACATCGATTGATTGATTGATTGATTGATTGACTGATTGATTGATTGAAGAAAAAAAAAAGGCGGAGGGGAGGGGAGCCAGCCGTCGATTGAAAAAAAAAAAAAGGCGGAGGTGAGGGGAGCTAGCCGCTACCCCAGCGTAGTCCTCCTCTCGTGCTCCTCTTGTGCTCTTCCTCCTCCTCCTCCTCCTCCTCTTCCTCTTCCTCCTCTTCCATCGCCTCTTTCTCCTCCTCGTCCTCCTCCTCCTTTTCTTCCTCCTCCATCGCCTCTTTCTCCTCCTCCATCGCCTCTTTCTCCTCCATCGTCTCTTTTTCCTCCTCCTCCTCCTCCTCCTCTTCCTCCTCCTCGTGCTCCTATTCTCCCTCCATCGCCGGCTCCTCTTCCTCCTTGTCCTTCACCTCCCCGTCCTCCTCTTCCTCTTCCTCCTCTTCCTCTTCCTCCTCCTCTTCCACCTCTTCCTCATCTTCTTCCTCCTCTATCGCCTCCTCCATCGCCTCTTCCTTTCTCCTCCTCCACCACCTCAGCCTTGTCCTCGTCATCTTTATACCAACGGACGAAACATTGCACCTCATCTTTTGGGGGTAAACGGCTGGAGTAACAATGACAGTATGAAGCTAGTCAATACCTCGTCATCTAATTAGTCACGGGCCTGAATCGATTAACGAGATTTTTTTATTTTTTTTTCAATCAATCAATCAAGATCCATCGATTTCCGTCGATTTCGACGGATCTTGAATGAATGAATAGATGGTTGATTGATTGATTGATTAATTGATTGATTGATTGATTGACTGATTGATTGATTAATTGATTGATTGAATGATTGATTGATTGATTGATTGATTGATTGATTGATTGATTGATTGATTGGAAAAAAAAGGCGGAGGGGAGGGGAGTCAGTCGATTGATTGAAAAAAAAAAAAAAAAAAGGCAGAGGTGAGGGGAGTTAGCCGCTACCCTAGCGTAGTCCTCCTTTTCTCGTGCTCCTCTCGTGCTCCTCCTCCTCCTCCTCCTCTTCCTCCTCTTCCATCGCCTCTTTCTCTTCCTCGTCGTCGTCCTCGTCCTCCTCCTCTTCCTCCTCCTCCATCGCCTCTTTCTCCTCCATCGCCTCTTTCTCCTCCTCCTCCTCCTCCTCCTGCTCCTCCTCCTCCTCTTTCTCCTCCTCCTCCTCCTCTCCCTCCATCGCCTGCTCCTCCTCCTCCACCTTGTCCTTCGCCTCCCCGTCCTGCTCTTTCTCTTCCTCTTCCTCCGCTTCCTCTTCCTCCTCCTCTTCCACCTCGTTCTAATCTTCTTCCTCCTTTATCGCCTCCTCCTCCTTCTCTTCGTCCACCTCCATCGCCTCTTCATTTCTCCTCCTCCTCCACCTCAGCCTCGTCCTCGTCATCTTTGTACCAACGGGCGAAACATTGCACCTCATCTTTTGGGGGTAAACGACGGGTCCCGGAGTAACAATGACAGTCTGAAGGCCCGGACCTTAAACGGGCAATAGATGAGGGACTTGTCGTGCTTGACGACTGCAAGTACGTCAAGTGGGCAGATGGTCTAGGAGATGTATCGATGTTCCCTTCGATGAAGGAGAATGTCGAAGCGAGGAGAGCAAAGCCGAGTAAAGAAAAAGAGTCGGTCAGGAGCCAGAGCATCAAGATAACCTTTGAGGGGGATATGGCGACCACACCCATAAGGGTGGCAGCCACCAAGTCGGCGAGAGGGTCTACATCGAAGAAGACTGACACGGATTACGTGATGACGGAGAAGGACAGGCAGTGGGTCGATGGAGAGGAGGTTATCCTTTCGCCGCGAAAGAGGGGAGTGAAGAAGTTTTTAATGAAGAGTTCGTTGGACGAGATTGACACG